GGTCAGTGTGTGTGGGGGTCACAGGAGGTCATGTGTGGGTGGGGGTCACAGGAGGTCAGTGTGTGGGTGTGGGGGTCACAGGAGGTCAGTGTGTGTGGGAGGTCACAGGAGGTCAGTGTGTGTGGGGGTCACAGGTGGTCAGTGTGTGGGTGTGGGGGTCACAGGAGGTCAGTGTGTGGGTGTGTGGGGGTCACAGGTGGTCAGTGTGTGTGGGGGGTCACAGGAGGTCAGTGTGTGGGTGTGGGGGGTCACAGGAGGTCAGTGTGTGGGTGTGGGGGTCACAGGAGGTCAGTGTGTGGGTGTGGGGGGTCACAGGAGGTCATGTGTGGGTGTGGGGGTCACAGGAGGTCAGTGTGTGGGTGTGGGGGGTCAAAGGAGGTCAGTGTGTGGGTGTGGAGGTCACAGGAGGTCAGTGTGTGGGTGTGGGGGTCACAGGAGGTCAGTGTGTGGGTGTGGGGGTCACAGGAGGTCAGTGTGTGTGTGGGGGTCACAGGAGGTCAGTGTGTGGGTGTGGGAGGTCACAGGAGGTCAGTGTGTGGGTGTGGGGGGGTCACAGGAGGTCATGTGTGGGTGTGGGGGGGTCACAGGAGGTCATGTGTGGGTGGGGTCACAGGAGGTCAGTGTGTGGGTGTGTGGGGGTCAAAGGAGGTCATGTGTGGGTGGGGTCACAGGAGGTCAGTGTGTGGGGAGGTGGGGTCACAGGAGGTCGTGCATGGGTGGGGTTACAGGAGGTTGTGCGTGGGTGTGGGGTCACAGGAGGTCGTGCGTGGGTGGGGTCACAGGTCGTGCGTGGGTGGGGTCACAGGTCGTGCGTGGGTGGGGTCACACACACCATCTGGGTCTCGTCCTGGCACTTCTGCCTGATGTCGCTCAGCATGTCTCGGAGCTTGGCCTTCTGCTGGTCCATCTCGTCCAGGCGCTCCTGTGCGTCCTGCTTCTGCGCCTCCAGCTCCTGCAGGCTGCTCGTCTCCCTGTCCAGGTCGTTCTGGAGTTCCTGGGGGACAAGGGTGGGCATGTGACAAAGTCAGCTCATGATGACCCGGATGACAAATCAGTGGGGGGGGGGGGGGGGGAGAGGGCAGCCTGGCGCTGGGGGCTCATATCTGCAATCCCAGCTACTCAAAAGGCTGAGGATCTGAGGACCGCGGTTCAGAGCCAGCCCAGGCGGCCAAGTCCATGAGATTCTGATCTGCAGTGGACCACCAAAAAGCTGGAAGTGGAGCTGTGGCTCAAATAACAGAGTGTAAAAAGGGTCAAACAGAGAGCAAAAAGGCTAAGGGATAGCACTCAGGCCCTGAGTTCAAGTCCTACAATTGGCACACAAAATAATGGTGCACTGAGCCAAGTATTAGTGGCTTGGGCCTGTGATCATAACTACGTAGGAGGCTGAGATTTAGAGGATCAAGGATTGAAGTCAGCCCAGGCAGGAAAGTTCTGGGGATTCCATCTTCAGGTAACCAACAAAAAGTTGAGGTGTGATTCAAAGAACAGAGCGGTAGCTGAGCAAGGAAGCCAAACAATCATGAGTCCTGAGTTCAGGTCTTAGTACCAGACAAAGAAAGAGATAGAGAAAGGGAAGGAGGGGGAGAGCAAATGGAGCTGGCTGGAGGCAGACTCTCATGGGCGCTCTCCTGGTGCACTCTAGCCCCTGGCTCTCTCCCCAGAACCACAACATCTTATGGGTGACTGAGAAGCCCCCAGTTCTGGGCCTGGCCCCCAGAGGATGGCGATACCTGGACTTCACTGGTTTTCTGTCGGATTGCCTCCTCCTTCTCCCGAATGTCCTGTTCCAGGGAGAACTTCTCCCTGAGACCAAGACAAACGAGTGAGTGAGAGATGGGGTCCAGCACAGGCGCCGGCCCGCCCGCTGCCAGGGCCAGCCCGCACCTCTGCAGCTGGGCGATCTCCTGGCTGATGTCGTCCAGCTCCTTCACTCCCGTGAACTCCCCGGGGCCCAGCGAGCTGGAGCTGTCCTAGGATCAGACAGGTCATCACTGAGGGCGGTGGCACTGGGGCTGGGGCGGGCTCTGGAGGTCTCAGTGCGGGGCAGGGACACCCGCAGCCATCCGGGCCCTGGGGACTGGAGGGGCAGCACCACCTTGCCTGGGCTGCAGGGTGCAGGGCTACAGGGATGGGGCGGGGGCCTGGGCTGCAGGGGCGGGGCCTAGGATGCAGGGGCAGGGCCTGGGCTGCAGGGGTGGGGCCTGGGCTGCAGGGGCAGGGCCTGGGCTGCAGGGGCGGGGCCTAGGATGCAGGGGCAGGGCCTGGGATGCAGGGGCAGGGCCTGGGCTGCAGGGGCGGGGCCTGGGCTGCAGGGGCGGGGCCTAGGATGCAGGAGGAAGGACCACAGGGGGCGGGGCCTGGGGTCCATAGTGGGCCAGGAGCAGGGCCACAAGCATCAGAGGCGGGTCCGGGAGCACAGGGAGCAGGGGGTGTGGCGTGGGGCCCAGAGCGGACCCGGGGAAGGGTCCAGGGCCACAGGGAGCGGGGAGCATGGCCTGGGGCACGGGGGGGGGCCGGGGAGGCGGGGCTGGGCGGGGCGCACTCACCGGCAGGGGCGCGCCTCTCTCCGAGGGCGGGACCATGTCCGGCGAGAGGACCTGCGGCGGGTCCACGCCCTTGCTGACCTTCTGCTGAATGAAATACATAGCGAGCGCGAATTGGTCTTTGCTTAGCTTCCCCGTTTGCCTCGTATCGGCCAGGGCCCTGGAGAAACGTGGGGTGCGGTTACACACGGAGCGCCAGACTGCGGGGCCGGCCTCGGCCTCCGCCGGGCCCCACGCCGGCCAGTGGAGGGGCGCCGGCCCGGCCCACAGGGG